ACACATACACATCATATGCATTGATTACATTATACTATGCACTCATAAGTTTTTGGTTTTTTGTTTTGAGAACAATTGCAAAATGATTGAAATTCGTTTAAATTTGCATTTTTACATGTATAGATGATGGCAATCATACCAACAAATGCAACAAAAACAATTGCAGTGTCGAAAAAAATTAATGAAAGCCAAAACCGGAATATATTGCAGATGCGTACCAGTACATGTAGTATGTATGAGTATGCGTAGGTGTGAGTTGATATCAGCCACAGCAGCGTAGCGCTAGCATTCTCATGCAAATTGCACAAAATTGATAAACGACAGCGCTGCGATGAGTAAGTAGCAGCTGCCAGTAAGCGTTTGGAAAAAGCAGCCACTGCTGCAACTGCTACCGCTGCTGCTAGGGTGTCTAGTTAATGACAGCAACAGCGCCGACATGTCAATGGCAGCACCCAACCGTCTGCTGTGCAAACTTTTTGGCTATGTGTCTACACTGTTGACGCTACAGAGCTTCACCATGTCATGCATTGACACTTTTATTGTCAACGCTTGTCACAATGCGTAGCTGCGATTTAATAAATGCTTATTTATTTTTTCCTTTTCCCTTTTCCCTTTGATTATTTCGAATTGAAATGTTTTTTTTAAACTCATATTTTTAACTGCACTTTCAACGGTATTTTCTTCCATACAATAAATGACTATTATATGTGTGTGTGTTCGCCTGTCAGCTGTCAACTGCACTATTCACTATTTCATTTGAGGGATTTTGTGATTTGCGCCCAAACAGACAGTTTGCACCAATCATTATTTTGCAATTGCGCAAATTACCATTGTTGCAAGGCAGCAAAGCGTTGCCACCAGTATGCAATCTGTGCGTATGCCAATTGAAATGAATTTTTGATTCTCACGCCAATCGAATGGCAGGCGATGCATTGCATTTGGTATTAATAGCATTATGGTTTTAATTTATGCATTCAATTGGTTGGTATGTAAAGTATATGTAACCGGCTGTTAGTGAAGAGTGGCGCTTAAGGCCCAAATGCATGTATACATACATATGTACATATATGTAAATTTAATTCATCGGATACAATAATTTTAGTAAATTGTAATTTATTTAAATTTCAAATACTTTAATTTTGAAATTTTAAACATTTAAGCATTACAGCAATTTAAATGTTCTAAATGGTGATTTTATATACGAATACATGGAAATTTGGAACTCTAAAAAGTGGAGAGTTTTTAATTTTCTCATTTAATAGACATAAAATAGCATACCCTTATACATATGTATTTTCTCTGTATAAGAACCTACAATTTAACTCTACCGAAAATTGTGGAGAGAACACGTTTATGTTATTTTGTTAAATATTTAACTGTAGGCCCAAAAAATATTTAATTTATCGAATTATCAGGAAATCTTCAACTCTCCAAAAGTGGAGACTTTTAAAGTTATACACAAAAAGTGTACATTTTATATTAAACACTTGTCATGCCACAGTTTGAGCAGAAATCGGCATTAGGAAATAATGCCAGCAGTACTACTTCGGCGGAATTTTTTCCTTCAATATATATACATACATATGTATATAAATATCATCACAAACTTTTCCAAGTCATAAAACTGTTATTTTCCTTTTATAGTATACTTTTCATTCAGACTACTCAAGTTTTTACAAAATAATCCATTACGTCATTTAATCTGCTTTGAGTAAAGTTTGAGATCTCCAAACGTTTAAATATGGTATGAAATAATTACATAACAGGTAGAAAAATATATATATACGTATATCCATATGTAATATATAATATATGTATATTGACAACACCAACTCTCCAAAGATATACAATTTGCAAATACGATTGTCTAAAAGTCAGATAGCTGTGAACTTACCTTACATTTTTGCGCGCATCTATATAATTTTTAATATAGCAATAATTCAACCACATATCAAATATGATGGTTAACACGCAGAAAATGACTTTCCACCGGATATGATATAATGACAATTAAATTTTACACTCCTTTGTATTTAATTTTCATACTGATTTTGAATTCACGCAATGCCTTTAATCCTTAGTGTTTCCGGCGCTTACTGTCAGCTTACTTTTTCCAACTATGCAGATGTCAGCCGCACGCTTATTAAATGTTACCACTTGTCTTTTATAAGCCACCAAGACAGCAAGAAAAACGCCGGCTAACGGTATTCCTACCACCTTATTGCAACGAATATCTACATTCGCACTCGCATCGTTCATTCATGTGTAAAATATTAAAATTCAATTAAAATGGCGTTAATTTCAACGCAAACGACACCCACGCCAATAATGTAAATGACAATACTGCCAATAAATGCAACTGCAATTGCAGCCAGAGTAATAATAAAAAAAAACTCAACAACAATAATATTAAAATATAACAACAATTGTTGGCCGTTGTGGCAGTGCTTTTCGGTCGGGATGCTGTGGCTGTCATAATTGTCAGCATTCAACTGCCAGAGCATTCGACATTTTCGAATGTCAAGTGTCTGCATATACACATGTGTGCATACACAAATACATATACATATGTATATATGTATGTATATCCACATGTATATACATATGTACATATATTAAAGCTGCATATCCTATCGGTGAATATGAAAATATGTCTGTGCGCCCGTTTGTATACAAATGTGTAAATTAATATCTCTACAGTTGTGTGAAATAAACTCAGGAAACGTAATAAATTATTATGATAACCCAGTAAGTTATAGAATTCAAGAGAAAAGTATCCCCCAAAGTTGTTACTATCTTAATGAAACGAGATGTTTTCATTAAATGTAAAACTAAAGTTCTACATAAAGGAGACTTCTTTAGTATACCAATATTTCGCCCGACTTTTAGCTTTATTACTCACTAAACTTTCTGAAGTATGTTTCAAACGTTTATTGACGCTTTAAAAAAAGTGGAGACTTTTATTAAGTTCAAATTTAAACAAATCTCCACTAAAAATTGTTATGCCATAAACTTTTAAACGAAAAGTACTAATTATTATAACTTTTCAAAAGCGACTTCTAGATTTATTACTTACTGAACTTTCTGAAGTACGGTTTAACGTATATTAACACATAAAAAAAAGTGGAGACTTTTATTTAGTTAAACTTTCAATAAAACTCTTATATAATGAACTTTTGAACTAAAAGTACTAATTATTATAACTCTCCAAAAGTGGAGAGTTTTGTGTTGTTAAAATTAAAATAAATGCCAAGCATGTTTCATATAATAGCAGTTGTGCACGTCAAAAACAAACTTATAAAACTCTCCACATGTACTCGTAGAGACATTTACGAAATGTATTCTATTCAACTTTCTTCAAACTTTTTCTTTATTATTATTTTGTTGTTTCTGGAATTCCGACTCTGTAACGCCTTTGGCTTACTGGTCTAACTCAGTAATATTTATTAAGCTTTCCACACATAAGTGTTTGTTTGAAAATAACAAAAGAGAATATGTGTTTGTCCACATATGCATATGTAAATGTCACCTATCACTTCATAAGTTCGCTTTTCCGTTCGCAGTGCAACTCTCTTGGTCGCCCTCACTCGCACCAAACCCATACGCTGTGATATGCAAATTTAACACTCACATCACCAACGCTGCGACAGCTGTGATAATGGTTAATTAAAATGTTGTGCAAGCGTAGTGGGCGTTGTTACTTCTGGAGAGTGTGTGCGCGTGTGTAGGTCGAAAGGACACGGTTACGGGCATTCATATGCAGCTTAAAGTGTGAATGCATGTGAAGGTGCCGTTGTTCAAGAAGTGTGAAGCACATATGTATATACATACATACATAAGGTAAATATAATTTGTATGTACTACGTACGCGCCTTCATTAGTGTCTGCTGAGTTGTTGTTATGTAGGAAAGCGCAATCAATGCTGCCCTGTCGCTGACTTAACGGTCTGTCTGGCGGCTTGGCTATCGGCTGACAGCAGCTGCTGTCACAGCGTATCGCATTTTTTCTTCACTATCACTCATATTCGTTATGTTGCCACAAATAGCAAAAGAAAATATGCAAAATAAAAACCCTCACGGCATAACGATGAAAGAATATTTGTAATAATAAAACGAGAAATCAATGTAATTTATGGATTTATGCGTAGAGCGGCACTGTGCAAAATTCTATTAATTATACACTTCCCGATTTTAAATTTTTCAACAGTCGTTGCAGTGCAGTCAATATTGGCTTCATGCACGTGTATTAATGTGTATTTGATGGTAAAAATTATATTTAATATACTGTAGCATTGATGGTGTGGCTTTGTTGATGATTTATGATTGCATTTATTTGACAGGGAGCTGGAGAAGTTGATTTTAATTTTTGGAAGTTAACATTTGTAGGCGTTATTTAATGATGTTGGTAACATAATTTTTCGCATACAAGTGCTGTTTTAGGTTCAAAAGTAAATAATATATAATTTAAACTCCGAAAGCTTAAACTAAAATAAATTTAGATATTATTTTAACAAAACATGAAAAAATGGTAAAAATATTAAAATATAAAAAGTTAAGAAGTGGAGACTTAAATTTTTTTAGAAAAAAAATTAAAATCAAATTTAGTAATCAGAATAGAAGCAATTAACGTAAAAATAATGTTTTTTAAAAGTCTCCAAAAAGTGGAGAGTTCATTAATTGTTAATTCTATAGGTTAAAAACGACGAAAAGAAAATTTAGGAATTTTGAAGATAATTAAAAAATGTTTAAGTATTTTTTGGTGTTATGAAATGTTGGCGTAATCGTAACTTACAACTGATAAGCACTGAAAGAATCAGAGCAGAAAATTATTAATTGCACAGAGAAATTAATATGTAGTAGATAACACTGTAAATATTCCATGTGACTACTACGCAATATATTTAGCGAGTCAAACGTCATCAAGCAATTGTTAATAAAATTTGCATTTTCCTATACTATAACAACTTATGATTATTATTTAACATTTTCCGTTAATTTAGATTTAATAAGTGTTAGTAAGTGTTTTGACTTTATTGCTTTCACAACTTAAATAAATTCATTTAGCACGCTTTCAAACCATCGCCCACACACGCCGCATACGCCATCATATGTGGTATTGTATTCTGCTCATAAACGCCTGTGAAGAGATGAGACCACGGACCAGAAGCAAAAACGGCCACATCTTCACCACTATGCGTGGCGCTCTCCAATGGTGCTGTGGCGGGGAAGGTGTCCACATCAGGGCGCACTTTTGTTGGATTACGACGTTTATATTTATTCGTATTATAATAATCCTCGAAACCGGGACCATTGGCATAGCTCAGCGTTAGGTAGGGTAGGTCATCAGTACCTTCAGATGGTGCGACATCGAAAATATCGCTATCACGATCCTTGTAAAGAAAGAGAGTAAGAAATTGTAGAAATTTAATTTAAACTTCTCACTTTTTGGTTTTATGTTATCTTAAATGTAAAAGTATTTTGGCTTATCAGGGTTAAAATACTACACATTTCCCTCTTATCTACCCTCATACGCTATATTCTCTTTCTTACTAAGCGCTGTAAGTACAAATAACTTTTTTCTCACTTTCACTATCTTCTTCTAGATATACATACCTGATAGCCCGCGTAACTGAAGCCGTGCGAATGATCGGCGGTAACAACAATGAGCGTATCCTCCTCCGAAGTCAATTCACGTGCTGCTTCTATTGCTTTTGAGAACTCGACAGTCTCATCTAATGCATATTCCGCCATATTTGAATGATGCGCGGTATCAATACGACCGCCTTCGACGAAGAGAAAGAAATCGTTATCGTCCTTTTGTAGCATCTCAATAGCGCGCACGGTCATTTCCTTCAATGTTGGTTGCGTATCGGCCGCGTCCAAGTGATATTCCAAGTGCGAACGCTCGAACAGACCCAACACGCGTTTATAAGAATTCAAATTTAAGCTGAGCAACTCATCACGCGTCTCCACATAAGCATTATCCGAGGACTGTTGCAGGTACTCCTCAATCAAATTGCGTCCATCCTGGCGTTTGCCCTTCTTAAAGAACTGCGTGTCTAAAAATTCACGCTTGCCACCGCCGAAGATCACTTTCAACTGCTTGCCAACCTCACCGTGGATCAGTTGTTGCGCAATGTCCGCTAGACCCGAATCGGCGCCACAATCATCCGCCAACACCGCATCATTCTCCCACTCACGATCAGCCACATGCGCATACACACCTGCCGGCGATGCGTGCGTGACGCGTGTTGTCGTCACTAGACCGGCAGATTTACCAGCGTCCAACGCCCACTTTGCAATCGAATGCACATGATTATCCGTATCGGCCATACCCGCGCAATTGGTGCGTTCTACGCGTCCATTAACGCCGATCGTGCCGTGATTACCCTTAACGCCGCACAGGTAAGCGGTGGATGTGACCGCCGAATCGGGCACCATTGTATTCACCGAGTATGTTTTCGAGAAACCGGTGTAGGGAAACTTCTCGAACGACAACTGTTTCTCGGGACCACCGAGCAGGTTGCGCGCCGCCGTAAACGTTGTCAAGCCCATGCCATCGCCCAAAAAGAGTATAACATTCTTAGCCACACGCTTATTGTGCTGTGCAGACGCTTGCTGGCGCACAAATTTCTTACTCAGCTCCAACCAAAAGTCACTAGTAAACTCTGGTTCGCTGTATGCCTTGTTTGTGTGCATGCGTTTTGTTGAAAAATCCGGATGCATAGCGCTTTCCATGCAGTCATCATTGTCTGCTGCCAGATCGCAAGCAACAGTGAGTCCCGCTTCGGCAGTGTTGTAGTTCGGGAGCGCGACGACCAATAGCAAGAATGCTATGAACTTCGGCAATTTTTGTGTCAATGGCGACATTTTTAAGCAGACTACTGTGGAGAGCATGCAGATACGTCTTTTATAGGCGACATGCTCCGATAGCGTTAATCGGGCGAAATTTTCAAAGGCGTTGAATGAACTGCTACTGTCTTCGGATTGGCTGCGAATGGGATATCGTCGCATTATGGCCCGACAATCAGACTTGATTAGATTACTAATGCAGTAGAAACCTGTAGAACCCGCACATGAGTCACGTACTCACATATATAGGTCGGCTAATGACGCTCTACACACACGCTACCGTCGTCGTAGTGTCGTAGAGATTTTCGGAAGCGCTGTTGGCGTTTGCAATAAATTAAAAGCTTGCCTTACGTTTTTCAAAATTTTTCGAGTTCATATTCTTTTCGCTCATTTTTGACTTTCAAGTTCTACCGCATGCCAGAAACTCTCTTTTCTCACGACTCATTTCTCTTTTCAACTCTGTAGCTCACTTCCAGTAACTTTAAAGCCGTTTGAAGCGGTAAGTGTTGTTGATACCTATCGCCGCATTTAAATTTATTTAGGCATTCGGTTTAGCTATATTGATTTGTTTGCGCTTCTCTGTTTTTGTTTGTTTTTGTTTAGACTGTTAAAATCGAATAAAAACTGCGTCACTTTGCAAAAAAATCAACAGTAGCATTCGCTTGCGGGTGACGTTCACTTCACTTCAGCTCAGTTTGACTCACCTCTTTTCGGCTTGTACGCATAGTGGTTAAATCATGTGCAATCTTCGTTGGTTTCTATTGGGACTTTTGGTCTGCTTCGCAAGTGTAACAACCGCCGATGAATGTAAGTAAATAGTATTTACAATAAAAATATTCGATGACAAAGAAATTAAATGACGCGAAAATTATCAACACATGAAAGTGAAAGGTTCCTCTTGACCTACTGTGCTTGTGCTTAAACTCCCATAACTTAGACAAAGTTTTCATAGCGCGCATCTAATTAAAAAGTAAACAGTATAAATGCGGTTAGACAATATAGAAATAGGTAATTAATCGTTTTTGTTGAAATGATTATAAAGTAGAGCGTGTTATGCGAAATCCAGTTCTTTCTTGTTATTATTTCTCATATATTGGCAGCTGTAAATGCACTTTATTGAACTTGAACTGATACGCTTAGCTCTCATGCACGTTGTGAAGCGAGTTTGTTTAAATTAAGATGGCATTAGCTGAGCTTATACTTATTTACATTGTGCTTAACGTGTTACACATACATATGTTTTCAGACGTGCGCCAGACAAGCTAATGCATAATCACTATTTTGTACAATTATGACATTTCTCTACAGAGTGGAGAGATATTATGATTTGAAAAATTAAAATTTTTGGCATTGTTTTGTCTAATTATGCATAAGTGCGCTTGCTTCAAAACTCTCCAAAAAGTGGAGAGTTATTAGGATTTAAAAAATTTAAATTTTTGGCATTATTTAGTCTAATTATGCATAAGTACGTTTACTTCGACAACTATCTAAAGAGTGGATACTTATTATTATTTAGGAAAATTAAAAAAAGTACAAAAGTAAAAAGTTTGCGCAAATTCCATAATTACAATTCTAAAAAAATTTAGAAATTTGTTTATGATGTATTCTATGTTTATCGTTAAAATAAAAAGAAAAAAACAGCTAGTAAATGTTAATTCTTGATTTCTTGGATTTTTGTGAAGCTTATCAAGCTTAAAGCTTTAAATTTATTAAAATTGTTATTTTAAAATGCACCGTTGAGGCTGAATATAAGAATTCTAAAAGAAGTTAATGCAATCTTCTTCTTTTTATGCAATCAGCATATCAAAAAAGATCGTGAATTTTACGATAAAAAGTGCGCGACGCTGAATTTAATATATGACTTCAGTATTGCATTGTCGAAATAGTTTGTTTTATTATTATTATTATTTTTTTAATTCATAAAAATCTTTAGCATTCGGATTAAAAGCAGCTAAATTTTATAAAGATTTGGTGACGATCTGTTTGATCTTAACAAAAAAAAAAAACAATTGGTAGCAAATTTCTTAGTTCAAACAATAATATAATCGACTTAGTTTTTGGGTACAGTCAAATATTATCTTTAAAAACCTTTGGAGTGGGTACAGACCAAAACATTCAATGATTAAGCAATAAATAACAAACAAATAACTTTGAGATAAAGAGCAGATTTATATGAACCTTGGCAATTAATTATGCCAATAGTCTATTTAAGCAAGTAAACACCTTATTAGCAGCCTTATTTAATCAGCTAATAAATCACCCATGAAATGCTTAAAATAAACAAAACGTGTGCAAAACGGTAAACGTGATAATGTAGAACCACTCTCAGTTGCTGACCAAGTCCACCGCGGGCACTCAAGTACCTCTGAGTAGCAGGCGACTTACTCCTGATATGCTTAGTTCATGGAGAATCATGAAATTGGTGGTGAGAAAAAATCACTATAAACCAATAAATTTCTCTGATTGGGACATACATATATGCTAGGTATTAAGTGATTAGATTAGCTGTCACAAGGTAGTATAAATCAAAATCTCGCCAGCAGTAAAAAAAAATCTTAACAATATTTTAGCAAATGATTGTGACAATGATTTTTCATTATTTTAAGTACTTTTTTCGCATACAGTGAATTCATAACTAATATAGACTAATATAATGTAAATAATAATAACTAGCTTTTAATTTGGGTCCTCTACTTAACAGTTTTCTCTTCTTTTCATATTATCGATAGATCATATCTTTCTTGCAAATAGTTGAAAGAATATCTCGTTTCATGGATTATGCATGAAACTGACTACAATTATATTTATGCTCGCAATATGTTGCTACAGAGTATAATAGTTTTGTGCAACTAAAGGTATGTATCACTTAAAACTATGAGATGGAGCCATGTACAAGGGCGTTCCAAAGTAAATAGGACTTTTGTCGACTAGTGCGTTAGAATCTGCTATCTTTATTGATTGTTCAGTGAGAATTTCATTACTTTTACCGAAACGTTTCAATTGATGAAACAAGTTTATGGCGACGATTGCCTATCACGTAGCAGAGTGCACGAGTGGTTTCAACGTTTTCAAAGTGGTCGTGAGGACATAAATGACGATCAACATGTGAGCCAATCAAAATCCGCGTTCACCGGAAATTCCATCGAAACTGTGCGTGCATTCATCAAAAATCAGCCGAAATCATCATTGAAATTCATGGAGATGGAATTGAACATCTCCAAAACATCGATTTATCGCATTTTGACCGAACATTTGGGCTTACGAAGGGTGTGTGCACGGTTTGTTTCGCACAAATTGACTGACGACCAAAAACTGTTCAGAATCCGACATTCGAAGGACAATTATTTGACCAAAAATCACATTTTAACCATTAACTACTCCCCGTATTCACCTGATATGGCACCGTGCGACTTCTTCCTTTTCGGGAAAATGCATTTACCTATGAAAGGAAAGCGTTATCAGACGTAGAGGCCATTCAAAAGGCTGGCGGCCAACCCAGCCAACAAGCTAAAACACTCGTTCGACATGCTTTTGGACCGTGCAAAAAACTGTAATGAAGCAGAAGGAAACTGTTTTTTTATAAAATAAATTGATTTTGATCATCAGTTGAACTCCGCGTTACTGTCTGGGTGTTCGTCCGTCCAAGCTGAACTGAAGAAAAAATTAAGATATATAGATGAAATTTAATACAAATACACGAATATACTGCATATATGTTCATATATAGTTTAACAAAACTTTTGGCGAATACGTCCGTCAGTGTCTGCTTACGGCAAWGAAGAAGAAGATAATTGCGTGGATTCCGATTTTCCGGTTGACGTTTTGTATTTCCTTGGATTTCATTCATTCTGTATAAAATGCCCGGTTGCATCCGAACTTAGCCCTTCCTTACTTGCTTTCGATAAAGTTAGGTGTTTACGAGATGAATATCAATGCATATCATGTATATTTTTAATTATGAGTGACCATTCTTGTAGAACAGAGAATTCCCAACGAAATAATGTGAAAATTGATAAACGATTCGGCTCAGTGTTCAAATAGTACTCAACTCTGATTGCCCAGAGATAATTTATTTTTGGAATTCCATATCTTAGTTCACATATGGAACATATGTATATATGCTCAATGGCATAACATAATTGTTGCTTATCTATTTATCACTTTAGGATCCTCTGTGATCCTCTACAATAAGAAATATTGAAATATTTGTATTGCATATGTACGATAAATCCTATAGTCTCTATTTCGTATACCCGAAATCAACTGGTGATAGAAATTGATAACTGATAAATACATATGTGTGCTTAAGAATATATTCGTATGGTAACTGTTTATGTACTTATGTACAAAAATATATTATCTACAATAGTTGCCGTTAAGAACTATCTAAAAATCTGAACACTGTGAGTTTTTTTTGCAAGTGCGATGAATGTATTTTTTTAAATGTAGTTGGAAGCGAGGTATGAAATTTTCTACGCGATAGTAAGAACAAAATAAAAAAGTTCGATTCTTTGACCCACTATATATAGTAGTTATGTAACATTGACTTTTATTAGACTTTTCAAAAATAAGTGTTTGAACGTACTTAAACTAGGTATTATTGCGGTTATAATCACCCGATTCGATCTATATAGCTTATTTCTCACTGGCTATTGTTTTAAGGTGTAAAGAAAAAAACTTGGAAAACTCGAAAAAGTTTAAAAGCCATTTTACAAAGCGAATCGCCAACTATGTATGTTAAACATTTTTCTATTCATCCTAAGATCTACTAGAACAGACTCCACTAACAACTTTCATGCAGTCGGTTTTTTCTCGACATTTGTGTATATTTATACAATTTCTCAGTCTATACCTAAACTTACAGATCATGCACGATTACTTGTTCCACGTTCCGTAAAATCCGCGAGAGCCACCAAAGAGCAAACAACCGAATATTGGGTAGATAAAGCACAAAGCATACTCGCCGATAAGCTAGAGCAGTCATCGCGGCTCAATACCAATCGTGCCAAAAATATCATACTCTTTCTTGGCGATGGCATGTCGGTGCATACCATAACCGCTACACGTGCCTTCCTCGGCGATAGCTCCGAACAAGTCTCATTTGAACAATTCCCCTACACAGGCCTCTCCAAAACTTACTCAGTCAACAAGCTTGTACCAGACTCCGCATGCACGTCAACCGCTTACCTATCGGGCGTTAAGGCTAATTACGGTACGATCGGTGTTGCAGCCGAAGTGCCGAAGAATGATTGCGAAGCGGGCATCGCTAAACGAACACATACCGAAAGCATTGCGAAATGGGCGCAAGACGCTGGTAAATGGGCAGGTTTGGTGACAACAGCGCGTGTCACACACGCTTCACCAGCTGGTGTGTATGCGCATACTGCCAACCGTGACTGGGAGACTGATTCAAAGATCAAGTCTAGTGGTTGTGTTTCTGGCACAGAGCATAATGTGGACATCGCAAGTCAATTGATTGAATGGCCAGTTGGTAAGAATTTGCGCG